ATTGGATTTTCCAGTCAATCAAAGGCCAAGATCATGCAGTTCAAGCTGAAACTGCAAACTATGAAGAAGGGAGGATCAAACATGAGGGATTACCTCAACCAAGTGAAGTCCTGTTGTGATATTCTGGGAGCTGCAGGACAAAGAGTCTCAGAAGATGAACAAGTAATGCATATTTTGGCTGGTTTGGGTCATGAGTACAATCCTGTGATGGTGACTATCATGTCAAAGGCTGAAGCACTCTCCCTCAGAGAAGTTCAATCCCTCTTACTTACCTTTGAAACAAGACTTGAAGCCATGAACTTTGAACAACCTCAGTACAGTTTTGATGGATCTACCCCAAGTGTCAATTTCACTGAACACACACAAGGAAGGGGTAGAGGCAACTTTCAAGCCAACAGAGGAAGAAACCAAGGAGGCTCAAGGGGAGGCAGATCAAATAGAGGGAGAGGGAGATCAGGAAATAGAAGCATGAGATGCCAAGTATGTTTCTACACAGGCCACACAGCAGATCGATGTTGGCACAGGTTTGATCAAAGTTTTGTTCCAAACACTAACTCTGGGAACAACAACAACAACAATAGCCTACAAGGAAGGAACAGAAATCCCTCAGTCAACACTACAAACCTTCAGTCCACTCCAAGTGAAGCCTCTGATGACAGCAACTGGTATCCAGATTCTGGGGCAAGCAACCATGTCACATATGACTTTGCAAACCTCAATCTTGCTTCTGAGTATCAAGGATCTGAGAAAGTCCAGGTTGGCAATGGTAAGAGTCTCAGAATCTCTCACATTGGTAACTCTATAATCAACTCTAAGGGTCATGAATCAACTCAATTCATTCTCAACAATTTGCTTTTTGTTCCTGAAATTACCAAAAACCTTATTAGTGTGTCTCAATTTGCACTAGATAACCATGTCTTCTTTGAATTTCACCATGATTGTTGCCTTGTGAAGGACCAAACTACAGGAATGACCCTACTAAGAGGGAGAGTTAAGGATGGTCTCTACACCTTCAACTTGTCCAATGTCAATGGTGATCACCCCTCAGTTCAAAGCCTTCAGCAGTCTACTTCTATTTCAGTCAATCATCTCAAAAAAGAAAGTGAAGATTTTGCCATTTGGCATTCTAGACTAGGACATGCTCCTCTAGATATCATCAAGAGAGCTTTATCCAGTTGTAATCTTCCTTTTAGTATTAATGAGAATAAAAGTCTTTGTTCATCTTGTCTGCAAGGAAAAATCCATAAACTCCCTTTTCCCATTTCTGTTAATGATGACTATGGTATTCTTGATTTGATCCACACAGACTTGTGGGGTCCTGCACCTATAAAATCCTTTAATGGCTATCACTATTATGTGAATTTTATTGACCACAAAACCAGACACTCTTGGATATACCTTCTAAAAGCCAAATCAGATACTCATAGTGCTTTCCTTCATTTTAAAAATCTGGTAGAAAATCAGTTTAACAGAAAGATAAAAATTGTCCAAAGTGATGGGGGAACTGAGTTTAAAGCTCTCTCACAGTTTTTTCTTAACAATGGCATTGCTCATAGAATTTCTTGCCCTTATACACCCCAACAAAATGGGCTTGCTGAGAGAAAGCACAGGCATATTGTAGAGGTAGGCTTATCCCTTCTATCTCAGTCTCATCTCCCTTACAAACACTGGGATGATGCCTTTTTCACAGCCACATTCTTAATCAACAGACTTCCCTCCAAAATTCTCAACTACAAATCACCATTGGAATTGTTGACAGGAAAGAGACCAGACTACACTCACCTCAAGGTATTTGGTTGTTTATGTTTTCCTTATTTAAGACCTTATAATAAACACAAACTTGAACCAAGAACTCAACCCTCTACCTTTCTTGGATACAGTCAACAATACAAAGGATACAAAGCACTTCTTCCCAATGGTAAAGTCATTGTTACCAGGCACATCCACTTTGATGAGACTCTTTTCCCTTACATTCAAAAACAAAACTTCCATCCTGTTACTGCCAGCAACCCTCAGTTCATTCATCAAACACCTGTCACATTACCTATAAACCCTTTGCCTACTAACACAGTTCCTGTCACTCCACACCATGAAGCTCCTACAGACCAATCACACTCTTCTCACCATTCCCACACCAGAAGTTCTACCTCCTCTTCATGCATTCCTATTGGAGATATTTTTATAGATTTACCAATTGAAAGGGATAATGAGACTCAGGTTATATCTCATGACAGTCAGAGAGCTAATGAGTTTTTGCAGGACAATTTTCATCCTATGATCACTAGGTCTAAAGCAGGAATTCATAAGCCCAAAGTTTATTCTCATCAAATGAACAAGAAACAAAGGGGTGAGATAGAGGAACCTAATAACATTGAAGAAGCTCTTGAAATACCTGAGTGGAAAGATGCTATGAAGAAGGAGTATGAGGCTCTATTGAAGAACAAAACCTGGTCTTTGTGTGAACCTCCTAAACACAAGGATGTCATTGGAAGCAGATGGGTTTTTAAAGTAAAAAGAAATGCTGATGGATCTGTTGCTAGATATAAAGCAAGATTGGTGGCAAAGGGTTACACACAACAACCTGGTTTTGACTTCACAGACACCTACAGCTCAGTCATAAAACCAGTCACCATTAGAACCATTCTTGCCATTGCTTTGTCAAAGTCCTGGAATCTAAGGCAAGTGGACATAGACAATGCATTCCTATATGGTGAGCTAGACACTGATCTCTACATGGAACAGCCATCAGGGTTTGAAATTGCTGACTCTCAAGGAAAATCTCTTGTATGTAAACTGAACAGATCAATTTATGGCTTGAAACAAGCTTCTAGAGCTTGGTCCTCAAAGTTGTTCTCTGTCCTTAAATCTCTTGATTTCCAAGTGTCCAAGGCAGACTCTTCACTATTTTACAGACACAAAGGAAAATCTTCAACCTTCATCCTCACCTATGTTGATGATCTTATAATCACAGGTAGTGATGATAATTACATTCAGCAAGTCATCAATGATCTTGCAAAGGTCTTCTCTCTTAAGGATCTAGGTGAGCTGAAATACTTCCTTGGATTAGAAGTGATAAAGAATCAGAATGGGATTCTCCTATCTCAGAAAAACTATGTTAAGGAAATTTTGACAAAAGCCAACATGCAAGACAGTAAGCCCCTTAACACTCCCATGGTAACTGCACCTATTTCAAGATTTGAGGGGCAACCTGTTGTGAATGCATACAATTACAGGAGTCTCATTGGGGGGCTCCAGTATGCAAGTATAACTAGACCAGACATTGCTTTCACTGTCAACCGACTGAGTCAGTTTATGCAGAGCCCTACAAATTGTCACTTCAAAGCTCTAAAAAGACTTCTGAGATACTTGTGTGGAACTTTAGATTTTGGACTTCAGTTTCACAAAGAGTCTCATGATAAGATCATTGCCTTTTCTGATGCTGATTGGGCCTCAGATGTAGATGATAGAAAGTCTACTTCAGGACTTTGTGTTTTCCTAGGCAAAAATTTGGTTGCTTGGAGTTCCAAGAAGCAAGGTGTGATCTCAAGATCAAGCACAGAATCTGAATTGAGAAGTTTAGCATCTGTAACATGTGAAATATTGTGGTTGGAGTCTCTCCTTAAAGAATTGCAGTTCATTAACAGAAATCCATCAATCATTTGGGTAGATAACAAAGGAGCAATCTCATTGGCTAGTAATCCTGTCCAACATTCAAGAACAAAACATGTCGAAGTGGATATGCATTTTATGAGAGAACAGGTGAACAAGAAGAGAGTGTCTATTCAACATGTTCCCAGCTTATACCAAGTGGCTGATATCCTAACCAAGCCTCTAAGTGGGCAATTCTTCAATCGACTTCGAGCTCAGCTTAATGTTGTTTCTCAGTCGATATTTGAATTGAGGGAGGATAAAAGACGAGAGACTTGCCATGCAAGCAACCATGCAAGCAATGATGACCAGTCCAAGCAAGATTCCATGAATATGCCTTCACCTCAAAGTGAAAAAGACTTACCTCTGCACAATAGAGGCATGTTACGTGTTTGCATGGAAAAAGACAAAAAGCCCTAACGGGCACCTAGTACCAAAAGCAGCAGAGTTTGTTTGAATTTTTGTTGTTATCCATTAGGTGTCCCTTTTCTAGATTATTCTTAGACTAGTATAAATAGGGCCTCTCATTGTTGGGATGATTATTATTCAATCATTAAGAGAAAATCAGAGAATTATTTTCCTTTCTTATTTCCAGTGCTGAGTTCTCAAAAAATGTTGCACTCATATTTCTTTT